GCAACCTGATGACGTACACTCTGAAGACATTCAGAAACAGGTAGATTTCATTATATCTGACGTGTTGACGGCAACCAAAAGTGTTCAGGTAGAAAATATTGGTCATATGTTCAGCCTACCTTTAAGCACTCCTTGGGCTGATGTTGACCATGTGTTCATGCCAATGCTGCCCACAAACAAGGCCCACTGGATGCTAGGTGTGCTACAATTCAGAAGTCACACCTTGACAGTGTTCAATTCAGCAGGTAAAACATATCGTGACTGGAAGGTTCTAGAAGGTATTGAACCATATGTGAAAATCTTGCCAGCACTTATGAATGCTTTAAGAATTTCGAGAAAGGACCCTGATTACGAGGGACCTGACTCTAAGGAATTGAAGGTGTACATCGACAGTACGCTACCTCAGCAGACAAATGGGTAATTCTTATGACATATTATGTGTGCTTAACTTGATAATTTTTCAATCATAATATTAATTTTTCCCTGTTATTTTGCAGTCATGATTGCGGGTATTTGTGATTTTGTACGCTTCATACATCCCCCGTGAAGTACGATGTTCCATACCGCATAGATTCAACATTAACAAGTGTAGACTGGGTATTGCTGCTAGTGATGACAATTTTTCCCGCCCCGCCCCGATGGGTTGATGGGACGGGGCGGGTGGGGGTACTGCCCCGTCTCGGATCACCGGGCGGGGCGGGGTTGCCCTACCCCGTAAAAAAAAGGGTATTACACAAACACTTGCCCAGTTGCCCAGCCTGTTGTCCTAAGGTATTACACAAACACTACGCAGACAGCAAACAGAGCAAAATGAACTGAAGGCAGAAATCCCCACTTCCTCAATCCCCATTTCCCCACAAACAATTGCCCTAATTTTTCATTTTCCTCATTCGACTTGTATTTTCAAGTGCACAAGATATATTTTTGGTGGGGAGAAAAAGAGGTATCTTCTATGATTCTATCTATTGATCTTTAAAGATTTCGTCTTGGATACATGATTGTTGGACTGTTTGCTGAAGTTTTCCAAGAGCTTGAGTAGATCTTCTTCTAAGGTCTTGTGTCTTTGAGCTTTTATTTATTTAGTTATTTGATTTTCATTTTATAGGTTTCAATATCTGTTTATGAGATTTTTTCTTCATGTTGATTGCTGTTGGTTGTGGTTGATCACTAATAGATGGAGGTGGGTGAAGAAATATTTGAGGAAATTCTGGGTTTTTTTATGAATGCATTGAACGGAAGGGTTTATGCATTTGATGTGTTGGAAATTGAGAAATAAAGGAATCTGGTTAGATAAAAATTATGAGCCCTTAGAAAGCCAAATCCGATACCTTTCTTTGGCATAAATGCCAAGAAATATCAATTATCTATGGTTAATCTGACTCTGTTATGTTTGTTCACTAAATTTTGAAAGCTAGAAAAGATGAATGTTAAAAGTTTCTTTTGGTGTTTGATATGTTTGTTAAGAGGATATAGAAACAGGAAGATGATCGATCCTTTTACAGATCAAATTATATGCGTTTTTGGCTCATATGATTTTTTGAGAAAGGCTATTGAATCTTTGAAACAACCATGACTAGTTGGTATCTTTTTTGTTCTACCTTTTTGGACTATTTCAATTTTTAATCTAAATGAACATTGTTGCTCATTTCTGTCATTGTTTTGCTCAGTATTGTAAAAAACTCCAAAATCTGTAAAATCCAAAATCTGTGCACAGTCCCACTACCAATCCGATCGGTAAGAACCAATGTTTTCTATTTGCAAATTGTAAGTTATTTAGTTATTTATCATTTTCTGAACCTAGGAATTATTGTTTGTGAAAGATGAAAAATCATTCTTGTTTAGGAAACACGGCAAATGAGGTTATTTGTGAATCATGACATTATGCTCATTACTATTTGTTATTTGCACAGATGTCTGGCCCAAGTAGTGCTGGAAGTATTGGATTAGGACCAATACGTGAGGAAGATAGCCCGACCAATGTACCGGAGAGCAATGTCCCGCAAGAAGGTCCAGTTGAACTGTTACCAAATGCGGATGAAAGGACAATAAACCTAAGTGACGAGGAGCGTGAGATTGGAGAAATATCATTTGGAAAGAAGAAATTGACTTCAACTGTGTGGGAGCACTACAAAAGACAGAAAATTGGTGAGAAATGGAAGGTTATATGCAATCATTGCAAGAAACAGTTAGGGGGTGAAACAAAAAATGGTACAAAGCATTTGCGTGATCATTTGAAGAGATGTGTACTCCGTTACATTAAATTTCAAAAAAGATGCTACGAGTGGCAAGGTCACAATGGGTACTTACTCTTTCGATCCAGATAAGTGTAGATATAGTCTTTCGAAAATGGTGATTTTGCATGAGTATCCTTTGTCTATGGTTAATCACATTGGATTTCGAGAGTTCTTGCACGACCTACAATCATTGTTTAAGGTTTCTTCTCGCAACACTTTGAAGAGCGACATTTTGAAAATCTATGAATACGAGAGAGCCAAAAATATGATTGCACTTGAGAAGATCGAGAGTAGAATTTCGATCACTACCGACAT